TTTTTTTTTTTTTTTTTTTTTTTTTTTTTTTTTTTTTTTTTTTTTTTTGCTTCGTTCATTGCCAACACAGGATTATTGTGCCAGCAAATTTGGAGCTGTAGGTTTCCACGAGTCTTTGAGCCATGAATTGAAGGCTGCTGAAAAGGATGGAATCAAAACTACTTTAGTCTGCCCTTATCTTGTAGATACAGGAATGTTTAGAGGGTGCAGGATCAGGTGAGTAGAATTCTCCTTCTGCTCTGTGCTTGTAGTGATGTAAAAGTATTTGAAGGTAACTCAACTGTTACCATAAAAAATATTAAAATTTAATATCTGCTTTAGTGTATGTTAGTATTAGACTCAAAAAAGAGACTTCCTGAATTTGCTGTCTTCTGTCACTTTGTGCATAGGCAATGCAACTTTTGAGTTAAAGTCTTTGTAAATTAACAGTGAATGTAAAGTTCCAAAGAAAGTGAGTTAATGAACTCTTCACTGAGGTCTGTGGTCCTTTATGTATCATATCAATCTGTCCTAAATATTTCAGAAAAGAAATTGAGCCTTTCCTTCCACCCTTGAAACCAGAATACTGTGTGAAGCAGGCTATGAGAGCTATCCTTACAGACCAGCCAATGATCTGCACACCTCGTCTCATGTATATGGTCACCTTCATGAAAAGGTAAGAGCTGAAGTCCCAGTTAGTTGGCAATACAATGCACAAAATATGAGTAAAACACAGGAGTGTGTCCAGTTTCTGGATATAAACACCAACCCACACAGACCATAGGTGTGTTTTAATTCTTGGCTTGCCTGCTTGTAGATTGCTTGTTTGGGAAGCTCCATAAAACTGAGATCCCATGTATTTATGCATCCTTGTTTTATCCTTCTGGTATCTGTCATCCCTCTTAGATTCCTGTTTTCTTTTCAACTGACTTTTACTTCCACTGTTTGAGATTCTCTTTAGAAATGGGGCATAAGGCAGCAGACGAACCTTTAGCCACTTGTCTCTAGAACCAGTGTGTAGGAGGCTCTGCAGATTCTTCAGAACTTGCTCAAATATTGTAAATAAACTGAAAATCTGCACATTTGGGACCAATTTTTAGAGTCAAAGTCTGCGGAAGGACTATTTAAAGGAGTTACTATTTTTGTTCTAATGCACTACAGTTTTTTGGATGGAAACTGTTTCATCTGTAACCGGGCTGACACTTCAGGTAATGCAGGAGTTACTTCAGTTTCTCTGATGCAACATCACCTGCATTCTAGTTTATGGAGATCAGCTTCAGAGCTGTCTGTGGTTTTGTTTTAAATCTGTAGTATGTAAGGGGAACCTTTAAAATATAGTGCTGTCTTATTTTCCTTCTGTGAGGGATGGTTGAAACTGAGAACCTTGGTGACCTTTATTCCACTTACGAGGTGGTTCTCCTCAAGTCTCTCCTGGTGGACAGGCTTACCAAAGAATAGAGGAATCGTCACTGCTCACATCTTCCTGGAAGAGCGTATATATATGTGTCTGTTCTGCCAACAAATGAAGGCTGCTGTCAGTATCTTTAAGAACTAACTTCTTCAAGCAGATGCTCAGAGGGTGCTTCAGCGCTTCCTGCACAAGCAGTGCCTTATGCAGCAACAGTCACATCAAAGGCCCTTTGGGTTTTCTTGGTTCAACACTTTAGCTTCCAACAGGGAGATCAAAGCTTCTGCATAATCCATGCCCTAGGCAGCAGCCTTTAGATCAAAGGCCCTGCAGCTACTGCACAAGCAGTACTGCTGGCAGTGAGGACACCTGTACCAGTGACATCTACTTCTTGGTGCTTCAGTGGTCATTATTCCTGATGGCTGGAATTTGTGCGCTGCTTTCCACTGAATGTCTGCTTCTGTTTCCCGGGGCTGAGGAATCCCATTTTAGTCCTTCACTAGAGCCCCTGAGTGCTACTCTTGAAATAAAAACAATATATTGTGCATGTGAGAAGGAAGGGAGGGAGGGTCTGTAGCCAGGTATCCATCACATAATCACCTCTTGGAATTTTATCTGGAGGGGGGGAAAAAGGAAATTGCTCTCTTCAGACCTTTCTTGTTGAGGATGGATGATTGCATTTAGAATATAAATCAAGGTTGTTAGACATCTGGTGATCAAAGAATGGCATTAACTAACACTAATCCCACATTAAAGAATATCTTAAATGTCTGATGACCTCTGCTGATGTGGCTTTCGGCCGATGCTTTGCCTTGAGTAGACCTTCTGTGATGCCCTTGCCCTAGCACTCCCCCCTACCCCCTCTACCCCTTTAAAACTAGCTATCACACTGCTTGTGAAGAAACAGAAAATCAGGTCTAAGCTGGAGACATTTTAGTAAATAGCTTCTTCCTTTCTGCTTGCTTATGGGGTTGGGACTCCAGAATTTCAATTCTCCAAGTATCCCTGTGAAATGAAATTCCTTTAAGACTTAATAGCTATTATGTTGCTTTTAAGGAGACCAAGTACATAGTGCATGTAAGTGCATATACTTACAAGCAGAGGTTTTGTTTTATGCTGTCTAACAAATTTATAACCTCTTTTTCACAGTATTCTGCCATTTGAAGCAGTTGTATGCATGTACCGATTTTTGGGAGCAGACAAGTGTATGTATCCTTTCATTGCTCAACGGAAACAGGCTACAAACAACAATGAAGCAAAAAATGGAATTTAACAGTTTTGGATGGACTAGCGTTTATGGATGAATGCAATAATGTTACATGACTGAATTGCAAAGTGCACTTGCATCTAACAGATGCAAATGTCAGCATCTTAATGTGGCATTCTCTCGGGTCCTAAACCTGTGTGTTGAACTCTAAAAATTAGTGCATTTTTATATACTGTAAATAAAACTGACTAGAGTACTTGGGAAATGTGATAGGTAAGTCAGATGAATTCACAATGTAGCTGCCACCATTGTCCTTTAGAATATCACTGTATGTACAGTAAACTAGTCATACTACTTGTAGGGATGCACTGTATGATATCTCTTCTGTAGCCTGCCAAGGCTTCTCAGAGCTGTCTCCAACTAGAAGATGCAGTGTTTCAGAAATGGTTTGGCTTTCCCTATGTTAATTGGGAAGGGGGAGGGAGGAAAATCTTGCAATTTAAGCTACTGCTCATGATCTTACTGCAAATTCAAAGACAGATTCTGAATGCATCTCTTCACTTGTTCACCCAAGTTCTTAAAGGACACATGGCCAAATTGTGGTGTAATTCTCTTTTGTTGCAACTGTGTTCTATTTAAACAAAGATTAAAAGAAATCTGTAAGTCTCTGCCAATTCAAAGGCAAATGAATGTCTCACATACTGTCAGAGCAAACTTGTACTGGGCACCTGTTTTTTTAGGAATTCAGTCAGTGATTTAAGCTGACTTTTTTCAAGTAACTTGATTTGAAATATGCTCTGTTCTGTTTCCCTTTATATGTCAGAGTCCAGTTTACTGTTATGAACTACATGTTTCTTTTCTTCCTCCTCATTCTTGCTTCTGACAGTTCTCCCACCCCCCCAAGGAAGCTGTTGTGTTAAATTCTGTAACTGGACTTGTGCCTAAAAGACAAAGCAAATTAGCTGAGATACTTACTGTTTATGTAAGTGCTGGTCATGCCAATTATTAGCAAAGGAAAAATAGAATAACGTGTGATGCAACTCTACATGCAGAACATGAAAGGTTGTAAAGATTTGTTTTGAGTCGTACTCACATTGTAGAACAGCAAATGACATTTTTACAGTATTTTTTGTAAAGCGAACAATTTTGTGCCTTGAATTTGGTAATCTGTATTAGTGAAGCATTGTAAAAGTGAACTTCTACCTCTGTATCTTAATGTATACCATCCACTTGTAAACTACTATCAGACAAATTGTGATTACTTTTTTAGAATGTCTTGTTAAATAGTGACCAATGCCTGTGGTTATTAAAGTGAGCCACCTTTTCCTTAAAACAGCTATTGGAATGTTTCCTTTAAAGACTGAACTAACACAAACTACTTGTACCTGTTCTGCAGCTCTCTAGTATCAACACAGATCAAATATTTATGTCTCAATTCCTGTATCCACTTCATCAGCTACGTGGTTTACAGTGTAATCTCTTAAGTCTATCAGTAAGTACTGTGAAATTAGGCTGTAGGAGCTGACAGTTTTGTCTGTTGTCCTAAACTCACTAAAGAAATAGCTGGTTGAAGATATTTAGAAGAATAATAATTTCGGTGTTCTATAGGGCTGCATTCAGATCTATGAAAAAATGATCTGGGGTGGATGCAGTTTTAGTGAATTAAGTAAAAGTAGTTTCAGTGCAGCTGTAGTTATTACTACATATACACAACACATAAAATAAAAAATTGGTATCTGTGTCAAGAATAGTGTTGTTAACTCTGTTTAGAAACTAATTGAAAGTAGAAGAAACTGTTTACATTAACCCTTACTCCAAATTCCATGTTCTTTTGAAAAAGTCTTTTAATGACTTCCCCAGAGCCAAATTAACTCCCAGCAAAGTCCCTAAGAGCAAGTAAAGCAAATTTCTATTCTATTACATAGCATCATTTTACTGCATATTTGTTTTTAAGATGTCTCAATCTTTACTGCTGTGTCAGACTAAGAAGCAATTTTAAAAGTTTGATGTATTGATACTTAAGACACTTAATTAGACTGACTGAAAAGGAAAAACAAGAAGCTGATCAGTAATACCAAGGTTCTGTAAAACATCATGCCACTTTGAGTGGTTACACTTACTTAAAAAGCAAGTTTCAAGGCTTGTGGAGTTCTCCTTTAATTACTGAATGTGTGGTTATCCTGGTTTCTCTAAGGTTACTACCTTTTCTCTCAGTTTTTCAGCTCTGTGGCTGAGGGCTGGCTTGTGGCTGCTGTACTCCCAAGTATGTTTTCAAAACTTTTCATCTCCTATTCAAAAGTCATAGATACATATGGAGAGAGGGAATACCGGATACCTTATAGATCTGCTGAGACTTGCTTAAGTGCTTCTGGGGAGGACCTTTAGTCTGCATAGTGCTTGTCTTGCAAAGTGGGAGACTGAGCTTAAATTCAGTTCAGGCCTCCAGAAAAGTTCAAATTGTTTTTCTGATACAGATGAGCTGTTTTTAAAACAATCCTGAAACTTCTGTCATCTCTAGTTGCACTGTTTAAAAAAAAGGGGGGGGGGGGCGGGGGGGAGGTCACGTAAAGAAGCTAATCACCTGTCCACGAAGGTTTTCTGTTGACTAGGTGGCTTCCCCACTTGCATGGGTGACTCCTGTGAAGCAGGAAGTGAAGATTAGTGCCTGAGGATGGAGTGGGAACCGGGGTATCCCGTTTGTTACCCTGAAGTGTTACCTACCATGTGATTCTGAGAGTTTCCTTTAACACTATGATGAGAAACTATGGAACTGCTCTGTCTCTTCAGGGCTGTGGCTGATAAACTACACTGACTTTATGCTGAAATAATACAGTCTAAGTAGCTCAGGTAAAAGTTTTTAAATCAATACTTTAGCCTAGTAACTTAATGTAGGAACACTTGCCTTCGTTCCTTAGGATGATGTGGAATTTTACTGTTAAACCCAGATGAGCTGATGTGGGTGCAACCTCTTGTCACTTTCTGTCCTGCTGTAACAATCTGATGGGGTAGGCCGCTGATGAAAGTTTTCTTAGAAAGCTCCTGTCTTAATGATGCTAAGCTTACAGTCACGTAAACAAGGCGTTTGAAGATCAGGCTGTAGCTCTTTGCTTCCCAGTAAGCAGAACAAACTGCAACCTTGGTTCATCTACAGTGCTTTTCTAGGGCTTCTATTCCCTAGTCTTTTAAAAAGAATCTGGGATTGCCAGATCTCTAAAATGGGTGTACCCACTCAGTACTTGGAGTGAGATAAGACAAGTTTGGGCTTCAAGTATCTTTGCTTTTGGTGTTAGTAGTTTCCTGTATTGTGTGATTGTAGGTTATTTTATGTATTACTGTAGTTGCAGCTTGGAGCACCTAAACTAGGTGCCTATTATAGTATAAATTGTTCTTTCCCCCTGTTAGGCCTGTCTGTGTATGTAGAGTTGTTAACACACACTAAGTGTGTACCTTAGCTTACATCATAAGGACTTGTGCAGAGGACCTAAGTGAGGTAAGCTAATCAGGAGCATACCCTTTTACTTCATAATGAATAAATAATTAGGGGCAAGCGTTATTCTTTAGATTCAAACACCATCATAGTCCTAACTCTTGTGTGTAGACAAACTCTGAGTCTTGTTATCAGGAGCAGCTTGGGAAAACTCATTTGCCATCAGAGCTGTGTAGTGAATGCACATAAATTAAAGGACTTGAGCTACTATGGCTCTGAAAGTGTGCATTTACTCAAGAGTCTGATGCATATAAAAGCACTAACTTAAGCTCTGGATTTGATTCCTAATTTTTCTTGCATCTCTGAGTAGACGAGTCCTCTGTTCAACAAAGGCATATGATCATAATACAAATGGTAATCTGGTAAATATTTATCCTCAAAAGTCTGTTTCTGTCCATTAATGCTTTAAACCCTGGTTTTCCAAGTACAGAAGCTTTGGGATTCTGCTCAGTTTTCTCTTGGTGCCAAGTTCATACCCCAAAAACAGGAAATAAAACTTTCCATCACAGAGATGAGGTGTTCTAACAGACCCTGAAACAGCAGCTCAGGCAGAACTGGTTGATGAGTGCACCTATTTAAGGCTTATTTTGTCATCCTGAGCCTAAATTCCAGGTGTTTAGTCACACAGCTACTTTTCTCCCTTAAGAAAAAAAAAAAAAAAGGGCTGGGAGCTGAGGGACAGTCCCCAACAAAGTTAGAAATTTAGTTACATGGACCCCAAACCCCTGATATGCTAATTGACCTGCCCTGTGTATTTGCCTGGCCATGAAATGCTGATGTATCTAATGACAGAAAGTGTGGCTTTATCATGCCCTCAAAGAAATGAAGAAATTCATAGTAACTTTATTTAGACATAATTTAGGTGGACAACCCAAATATTTAAAATAACTTTAGAAATAACATTTCAGCTTACATACTTATCTATCTGCTTAATGCTGACAATACACAAACAATTAATTTCTTCTGCAAAATAATAATAAAAAAAACTTTTGAGCTAAATGATAAATGTGCAGCTGTCAGGATCAAGTGTTTGTGTTGTTTGTGCATAAGTTGAATTGGCAGGATGTTTGTTTCCCTCTTCCTAAGCAGGGCAATTGTAGCTCTTAGCCAAGGAGCCACAATGTATTTTGAAAAAAAAAAAAAGACTTTAAACACATTCGTGTCTGTACAGGCTAACCAAACTGCTTTTAAAATGTTATCTATTCTTATTGAAAACATTTTGGCAAACATTGTGCCTGGGCCAGTGCCTATGGCACTGGATTAACTGGAGCCTTTCTTTTCTAATCCAGTTATTGATGAAAGCTGCTCTGACAGTAAGATGTGGGGAATAGCTAGAGCTAAACCATTACAAAAGCTAGTAGCTGTATCCAGGGAGAGGTTTTTAGTGGGAGAGGAAGAATGGGGTGCTAAGATGGCTCTAGGGATCTCCCCTCCACCCCCTATGCTCGCAGCTTCTGTTGCAGAGTGTGTGCAAGCACAGCGTCCTACTCATGTTCTGATGTCCAGCCCTCCCTTCTCATCACAGCTGCACGCAGCCCTAGTCCCGAGCTCATCTACCAGGGCTCATCTACTCATGACCCTGCACAAGACTTATGCTGAAATAATGGCACTTAAGTGTGTGTGTACCCTAATATTTTGCAATAAGCATAAACTGTTTCAGCCTAACTTAGGAGCAATGCCCTGGAGTAAGAAGTTCGGTGCTCCGGGACTTAGTCAGGACTAGCCAGTGTGTTTTGAATGCTTGTACTCTCATCTCCATCAACTGCCACGTCTAAACAAGCCCTTAGAAGGTAATTACAAGCCTTCGTTTAGATGCATCCACTCAAGCTACAGATAAGCAAAGTTAGCTTAAGCTTGTTCTATTTTCTTAGCAGGCAAGTGCACTTTGATCCACTGTTTAGAACAAACTTTACTGAATATGAGTTAGGTCTCTACATAGATCAGTAGTTCATGGGAAGCATCCCCCACCGTGTTTAAGGATGTTAGGTTTTCCTGCCATGCTGAGGGCCGGGAATATTGACCTTTGCAGCTGTTTTAGAAAGGAGCTTCAGCCTAGTTAAACCTTTGGCCTGCAAGGTAAGGAGTTTTATGTCAACAGTAATATCGGACGAGAAGGTGGAATTAAGGTCTCCCAAATATCCCCAAATTAAACTATCATCAGTGCTCTTTGTTTTATTGGTGTCTTCACAGGGGTTTCATCCCCAGTTCTTGTCTTGTGGCTCCTGCTAGTTCGCTGTGGTAGCAACAGTGGGAGCCCTCATGCAGCCTCCAAGGGACCAGTGTTTCCTCAAGGCCGCTGCTTTCCCAGGGCTTGCCTGTGAATTGCAATGCTTGGAATGCCAAGGGCTGCCGGCTTCTTCTCCAGCAAGTGCTCACAGTGGTGGGAAATAAGCATCAGGCAAATTGACCACCTTCCAGTGGAGGCATCTTAAATTAGAACAGTCCAGCAAAAACACCGATACATGGATTTCTGCATCTCTCTGTTGTATCCACAATCCAGTCAACCTAATAAGAAATGCCAGCTTTTCCCTCCTTGAAACGACTCTCAATAAAGATCGTTTTAACAGTTTTCCTCTGTATTTTATTTCTGAATTACAGAACTGATCACTTCTCTGGTCCTTTAACTAAAAACTATGACATTTAAAAATAACGTGAGTCACATAATACGTTATCTGTTACCACGTGCAAAATAAGGCACTTTGTTAGTCCCAGGACTAACCTGGGAATTTTGGAGGAATACTTGGGTAGTTCTGAAAAAGCAGGTTGTTCAAGCAGTTGTTCAGTCTCTTTCACATCTTTATTTTGTATAGCAAACTAGAACAAAGGCAGCAACTAGAAGATGTGAAAT